CATACAGTACCACTATCAATGATAACATTGTGGTAATGATATCTAATACATACACTACCGCTATCAATGATAACATTGTGGTAATGATATCTAATACATACACTACCACTATCAATGATAACATTGTGGTAATGATATCTAATACATACAGTACCACTATCAATGATAACATTTTGGTAATGATATCTAATACATACAGTACCACTATCAATGATAACATTGTGGTAATGATATCTAATACATACAGTACCACTATCAATGATAACATTGTGGTAATGATATCTAATACATACAGTACCACTATCAATGATAACATTGTGGTAATGATATCTAATACATACAGTACCACTATCAATGATAACATTGTGGTAATGATATCTAATACATACAGTACCACTATCAATGATAACATTGTGGTAATGATATCCTTGGTGCTGTCAACTGGTCTTTACTTTATTCAGGGCTAATGACACTTTTACCTTGTTGGTGCTGTCAACTGGTCTTTACTTTATTTAGGGCAGATGACACTTTTGCCCTGTTGGTGCTTTCATCTGGTCTTTACTTTATTCAGGGCTGATGACACTTTTACCTTGTTGGTGCTGTCATCTGGTCTTTACTTTCTTCAGGGCTGGCCTGGTAACACCTCTTTTCTTGGTGCTTTCAACTGGTCATTTCTTTATTCAGGGTTTGTGACACTTACTTTCTTTGTGCTGTCAACTGGTCATTACTTTAATCAGGGCTGGTGGCACTCTTCCTTTCTTAGTATTTGTTATCTGGTTATTACTTAAGGATTTGTGGGTTTTATTTTCTGTTCCAGTTTGTCATTTATAAGCAAATCACTCTTAAGACATATTTATGGTATCAGTAGTTTTTTGTTTTGTATAAAGACAGTAATTATTATTAAAACTGGATATAAATTATTTAGTTATCTAAGAAGTTAAAAACTCACCCCACCCATAGTGGTACTGTATGTATTGGTCTTTACTTTATTCAGGGCTGATGACACTTTTACCTTGAGATGACAGCACCAACAAGGTAAAAGTGTAATCAGCCCTGAATAAGGTAAAGACCAGATGACAGCCCCAACAAGGCAAAAGTGTCATCAGCCCTGAATAAAGTAAAGACCAGATGACAGCACCAACAATGTAAAAGTGTCATCAGCCCTGAATAAAGTAAAGACCAGTTGACAGCACCAACAAGGTAAAAGTGTCATCAGCTATAAATAAAGTAATACACTCTAGCAGGTCTTAAAGTTTACTATTACTGATTGCTCTACATAAAACAAACAATGAAACTTCATAAAAAAGCATTCTACTTTTCTGAACACTGGTTCTGTGTAATGAATGTTCTGAGATTTCATTGCTGCTGGAAATTAGTTTTGCTATGACATATGACTTGCAGGACATCCATTCAAACAGTGGAAATATTGCCCTTGAAAGCTTTATAATTTATTATGTAATTTTCTAAGCTGAATATTCTAACTTAGTTGAGTAATACATACACTTTTTTGTACAAGTATGTTGGAGATAAACTTCTCTACAGAAAAGCCTGTTACCTGAACCATAACCATTAGCATACAAAGATCTTGATTCTCTGTTGTCTGGGTCTTGACGGTGTGGAGACATCTCTTTCCTGTTGGTATCTAGTTCAAATTCACTGCAGAAGAAACAATTTTAATAATAGTGGTTAAAATAAGACTTCTAAGATATTTGCATTTATTTGCAAAATAGCAGTCCTAAAATATGTCATTCTTTTAAAAAATTTCTTTATGTGACAAAATATCAATTCTACCTGTCTCTCACCCTTTTCCACTTAATAAAATAGATAAAAATGGTATTAAAAACAATAGCAGTAGTTTAGCAGTGTTTGTAATCAGCTTGCTAACACATCAAGTACTTAAAAATAACTCCTCATACATTATTAGATTAGAAAGATTTAGTGCCAAGTGGTTACTCTTTTTACTTCAAAATCATCACAAATGGCATTCTGACTTTCTTATCTAATTACATAAAGTTAACATTTTTTTTCTTACCTGAACTTATATATCCAATAGATACTTATCTCTCTGCATACTGTAGTTATTCCTCACACATCTGCCTTTTGTAAATGCCTCTTGACCTCAAGCCAAAGGGCAAGAAGCCTTCAAGGATAGGTGAAAGAAGAAACAATTGGCCAAGGGTTCAAACAGGGTCTGGTTGAGAGTGGAAAGATCCACAAGAAGGTCCCAATCAGGCAAACAAATAACAAAGGAATGAAAGAAGGTAGAAGGACATGGAAAGAAGAGATTAAACCATAGCAAAAAAGGTGAAAAGTGGCTGAGAAGGCCACAAAATATCCTGTCATGGTGTAGACCAATAATCTATTGTCAAATGGCCTGGTAAAAAATTCTGAATGATAGGGAACAGAAGGACAACCCAGAGCACCTAATAGACCAGTGCCAATAAAACACCACTTGCATCAGGTAAGAGAGAGAGTATAAAGAAAAACTGAGCAGTAGAAAAGAAAGGCAATGTAATATGAAAAATTTCCCATCGAGTAAGTAACAGTCTCAAGCATGATGATGAAGGGAGAACATTCCCACAGGAAAGAGTAATTAATGGAGAAGGTTAGAGCAAGAGGAACCTCAATGATGGAAAAGAAAGGTGTCTAAGATGCCAGACAGTGGAGAAGAGGAAACTAAGAGAGAGCTGACCAATAAAGTGGTACCAACAGGATTTGACAAGGAGTGTTGCAGAATATCATAGACATGTGGGGAAAGCAGGTAGAATGGTGCAGAATATCATAGACATGTGGGGAAAGCAGATAGAATGGTGCAGAATATCACAGACATGTGGGGAAAGCAGATAGAATGGTGCAGAATATCATAGACGTGGGGAAAGCAGATAGAATGGTGCAGAATATCATAGACATGTGGGGAAAGCAGATAGAATGGTGCAGAATATCATAGACATGTGGGGAAAGCAGATAGAATGGTGCAGAATATCATAGACATGTGGGGAAAGCAGATAGAATGGGACACATACATAGAAGAGATCTACCAAGTAGAAGTGAAAAGTAGCCAAACATGTCACCACAACATCAATATACCTAGAACACTAAAAACCATAGCCACAGCAACATGTCACCAAAACATCAATATACCTAGAACACTAAAAACCATAGCCACAGCAACATGTCACCACAACATCAATATACCTAGAACACTAAAAACCATAGCTACAGCAACATGTCACCACAACATCAACATACCTAGAACACTAAAAACCATAGCTACAGCAACATGTCATCACAACATAAATATACCTAGAACACTAAAAACCATAGCCACAGCAACATGTCACTACAACATCAATGCATCTAGAGTACAGAAAACAATAGCCACTGCAACAGTGACCCTAGTGCTAATAGAGCCTTTCAGCAGCAAAATCTATATTTTATGGTGTAAAGAATGTGTGACAGGCAACAACTACAATTTATACTACTAAGTAGATTAAATAATAACTAATCACAGTATACATACACCATTTACATTAGCATTTATTATACAGCCAAAAACAGCATTAATAATTTAGTAATATAATACAATAAACATAAAACTGTAAAGTATACTGGTCAAGTTCACAGGTAAAACCAATTGGACTGATCATGACAACACTGACCAAGGCACATGTGTTAAAATTCAAAATTTCCAAGTAATATTTGGCTAATTAATATTAAAGTAGGTATATAAAGGTTTGTATAAAGAAACATGAAGATATTTAAATATATCAAATCTACAAAATGCCAACAGACTGCACTCTAGATGAACATAGAGGTAAATATTGATTTAAGGAGTTTGTAGTTTAGTACCTTGGCAACAAGATAATAGAAGTACAGTGCTATTCAAGTTTCAGAAACCACAAATTATTTGTCAACTTTAACATACTACACACTGAAAACTTTAGTATTTTACAAACAGACAAATTTAATATATTACACACTAACAACTTTAGTATTTTACAAACAGACAAATTTAATATATTACACACTAACAACTACATTATTCCACACACTGACAACTGTAATATCCCACACACTGACAACTACAATATCCCACACACTGACAACTGTAATATTCCACACACTGACAACTACAATATCCCACACACTAACAACTATAATATCCCACACACTGACAACTGTAATATTCCACACACTGACAAATGTAATATCCCACACACTGACAACTATACACCTGGAAAAAAGTTAAGCACCCCCGTGTTTTTTTAAAGTGATTCAGATTCGACG